CAGTTCTCCCAACATGCTGAAAGCTTATTAACCCGAAGGCAAAATAATCATCTCTCAGAACCCACAATGAAAAAAAAGTGTCTTTTTTCTAGGCAGGAAGAAGAAAAAGTCAGAGAGGAGTCTGACATCATTTTAAAACCTGGTAAAAGCACTGCTGAAATTCAAGCCATGAACGTGAACTGCTCTGCTGAAAACAGAAGAATGAGCCCTTTCTTGGCAGAAGTCACAGAATTTTGAAAGAGGGGCATAGTAAAGAACGGGGCTTTTTAAGAAATCGTATCACAGGGACAATAGCAAATTAATCTGTCAGACAGTGTGCAAATAATAGTGAGATACCGCCTGGAATTGCCTGTCTACAAATTAACAAAATAGCCCCTTTTTATTTACAATTCAGCCACCCTGCCTGTTGAATTGAAAATGCACAAAGCTGCCACATCAAATGATCCGATGGCCGGCGGCTCTCCCAGCCCATCATAGGTTGCTTTGCATAGTCATCCTACTGCCGACCAACGAATAAGCAGCTGCTACATTTTTTATGTCTTCACACCCCTTTTGGTGCTGGCCCTATGGAATCGTTGCACTGCACACTGCATTCTCAGTGTGTTCGATATGATGCGTGCACTGGCGCATAGCTCTGTATTAATGGAATTGTTTCCTTCAGCAGCTGTATGCAGCAGCCGTATGTGATACAATACACAATGGGAACTGCTCGTTTCTACACTGTTTCTAGGGAAGTAAAGGGTTACTAGGGGGAAGTGTGTTTTATCACACATTCAGCACTGCACAAAAATAGTCTAGAAGACCAAAATGCTTGCGTTAAAGTCTCGACATTTCTTTAATTAATTTTAGTACCACAAGGATCTATTTTGGATACTGTTAGTATCTGCTGTCTGTGCAATGTATGCAGAGTTAATAGTATCTTTGGAGGTTCAGGAAACAGAAAATCGCTCCTCAGCTGGAGGGCAAAGAGCAGCCTGGTGTTGGGGGCGGGGAGCACATCAGCCTGGGACTCGCAGGGCTAGAGAATGAGACTGCACGGCTGCTGAGATCAGAAAGCAGACACGCTTTTCTCTTTCAAATGACTCCTTTTCATGACCAACCTACCTGCGCAGAACCTGGAGAGCATTGGCCATCTCCTCTGAAGCTATGAGAAGAGCTGAACAAGGCTAAGGAACATGGCTTAGTAATTAGCAATATTGGTGGTATGGTTAGACTAGATGGTCTTGGAGGATTTTTCCAACCTTGTTGATTCTACGATTCTGATTGCTCCAGCCACCCCTGAATTTGACCACATAGTGGCTGGTGGTACCCTTTGGCCACCCCTGTCATTTTAATATTCACACCTGAAGATCTCCCACCTTGTTATCCAACCACACGAATCTACAGCACACACTTTCATTCACTCATCCAGAGCTATGCGTATCTACTGCTTTTCCTCTTTTGGAAATGTGCTGCTTTGGTTTCCTTCGCATAGGTGAATCCGCAGTGAGTGCGTGCTTGCCGCTATTGAGCACGTACAGCCTGTGCCGTATGCTTCTGAGGTTAGTCATGCTATTTCCTGTGCTACCTGATTACCATCAGTAGCTGCATGTTGACCGTTTAATTGACTTTTCAGAAACTCAACTTAGAAGTTTCCTGTGCCTTCCCCACTGTACACAGGGAATAAAAGCTTAATACATTTACCATCACAAGAAATGGTTTGCTTTTTTCCTCAGCTCATCCGCTTGAACTACTGTGAGCTCCCTACGCCATCAGGGCTTCAAAATCTTCCCATGGGCTGCATGAAAACTTCTCAGGCCTGAATCTCAGCTTACCACCAAATACACGGTTCTGAAAGTTCTCTGTCGTTGGGGCTGGGACTGCACATACACAGGACTCCAGGGCTGCTCCCTCCACCATACACCATTCCTCACTCAAGGACAAAGCTGGTTGCTCTGCTTAGATCCCCACATTTATGCCACCTCCTTAAACCTACCATCAGCAGCCTTAGCGAACCCAAACTTAACTCAGTGTTGCTTTATAGAAAATGGTTGAAACAAACACAGGCTGAGCCTGAGGAGACAACCAAGGCACTCCAGAATCGTGCTCACCACACTGCTGCAGGCCTGACATCTTTGTCTTTTATGGGCTGTATCATGACTACTCCCACTAACCTCTCTGTGAGAGTGTGAGAGATTTTACCCACTGTTATTTGAGGTAAAAACAAACAAAAATTATCCCAGGACTGAATGAACCGCCATAAACCAGCGATGTGTAGGGCTGCTAGTCCTACAGATGGAATGTATCATAATCTGATTTTAAGTTACTTTTGCACACAAATGATTAATTTTCAATTAATTAGGAGGAAGCTGTAATTTTATATTCTTCTGTATCAATTCTTAGGATCAAATAGCCATTAAAAGAACATAGAAGAGTTTAAATCATTTTAGTAAAATGATTTTAGTTGGCATAGGACACCACCCACTACAACAGCTTTAGAATATTAAATAGCTAACAGTCTTGGAACGAAAATTTATTAGATACTGTCAAGCAGAATGAGTCCTATTTATTAAAGCTGCTATCAATTCATACAACTGAGGTTGAATCTGTGCAGCAATACAGAAAGGTTCTTACCAACAGTGCTACGATATGGGTGGGGCAAGGCAAAAAAAAAATAAATAAAAAAATAAAAAAAATTAACCAACTTTTTTGCTTTTCAACAAATCTCTACATAAATATTACAGTTGTATTTAAAGTGATGTACTCACATGATAACCAATTTTAAGACATGCAGTGTTTAAATGTGATGCTCTAAGAGCGAGCTTCAAGGGACGCAAACACATCTATTGCTGAGAGCACGTCTCAAAACCTGAGAATGGCGATGGAGGTTTGGATCATCTCCAGAGGCTTCCTAGCATCCTCAGCACCGGCTCTTACGCTTCACATTCCTTTGATACGCTTCTCCAGACAGAGGACAGAAATACCATCCAGGTTTTAAAACATTTTATTTGCATATTAAAAAAATTGTGCATTCCAATAATTAAAATCATTTGAACCAAAAAAAAAAAAAAAAAAAAAAAATGGCACTCGATTAACTGCATTTTACAGCTCGCAGGACCTTGGTACAGCTTTGCATTTATTCGTGTGTTACTCTAGTTACTGTAGTCCCACCCAAGTTCTTCTTCCATCAACATGCAAGCTCTTTCATGCCACCAGGACCAAAGCCAGACAGGCAGAGGGAAAGGCAGCGCCTTCATTCATTGTCAGTAGTTCTCTCTATTCTTTTGATGTGAAAGGGGCAGTACAGTCATTTTTAAACTTTATCCAACCTCTTTGCATTTTACAAAGTTAAACAGCTAAAAGAAGTAAAATAAGAAGGCAATGCTTGTGGAATGTACAGTGCATAATTTGGAAGGGCAGATTTCATTACGATTCACCCGCTTGCTTCTCCTGTTCAATCGCTACAAAGGGAAAAAAAAAAAAAAGAAATTTTTTTTTTTTAAAAAAAAGGAGAAATAAGGATCAAAAAGCCTCAAACGCGCATCCAAAGCACTACGTGTATGAATTGTAAGCACGGATGTGCCACAAAGCAGGCACCGAGCGTTGTGCGCCGGCTGCGGGCTGCAGCCCCGCCACCCCCTGGCCCCGCCGCCCCTCTTTGTCTCCTCCCGCCTCGTCCCCTCCCGCCCATCGCCCTCCCTCCCCCCCCACCCCC